CTAGGCGGTTCAAACGTTTGTCTGAGCCGCGACTTGAAGACTTCCAACGACCCAAACGCATATGGGTCGTGCAGCTTGAGCCCCAGTGCCCAAGTCTTGGCACGTCCTGCCAGATTTGACTGGGCAAATGCAACTTGCATATCCCCGTCGTCGATGCGACGCGCCCTTATGGCGTCATCCAATTCGACGAACCATCTCAAGAGGGAGTCTTCTTCGACCCCCCTATACTTGGAGATGTCAATCTTCAAAGTCTCGGGTCGACGCGAGTGCATCGACCCGCCAGCAGCAGCCTGCTGCTGTCTCAACAGTTCAAACTGTTGAGCACCTTGTTCTCTCAACAACTCTGCTTGTTGAGAACCTTGTTGGTGAAGCAAGGCTACTTTCTCGCGTTCTGCGTCAAGTTCATTTTGAATGAACTTGGCGATAGTAGCATGTTGGGCATCTCTATTGAGAGCCTCTAGCATGACGCTAACAGCATGGATGCCCATGGTCGAACCCATTCGTTCAACCGCATCCCATTCGACATCGCTCAAATGGGAGTAGCCGTCACGCGTAGCGTGAAAGCTTTGGTCATCTTCATCATCCAACATATTCATGTTGGATGTGAACGCGGTCCTTGGACGGACTACGAAGTGCTACCAGGTGTAACGGGGCACCCTGAAGCTTGTACTGGTGACAGTACAAGCTACTTATTCTGATAACAGAATAAGGCGGTGCCTCGTAACTTCACGTACACTCGTACGTGCAGAGGAAGACGGTAAGAAGAAGCGAGTACTCGGTTAGAGTAAAAAGTAGAACTGTATTTATAATAGTTAATGTCTGCAATAAATCACTATTTATCTTCATCTAACTATGTCTAAATACAAATGTGTAAATCAGTTATCTGCTCACCACTCATTGCGTGCGTCTGTCGTGGCGCGTCTTCGTTGGTTGATATAATGGCCTATATCAACCAATTAGGAACTACTTGGAAGTGCTAAAGAATATTGTCCTTATGACAATATTCTGAGAATATAACTCTTATAGTTATATTCTATTAACAAATTCTTATAAATTGTTATGTAACGATTCACCCCGTTACAAGTAGTAAAAAACAAGTATCGGTCAAACATATTATAAATTCGTGCGATAAAGAACTTACTGCAATCGATGGGAGCTGTTGACAAATCTGCATAAACAAACATTCTGTAGGTGCATGGACAATAGCATTTCAGTGTTCCATGAAAGCTATCCAATCATCCTTACCGGCACTCAAACTTTTTGAAAGCGAGTAATCATATTGTTCACGATTTGGAAGCGACAGATTAAGTAAAATGCGCATGGACTTTTCTCAGTTATAATTTAATGAGGCCAACGTCGCAATCGATGACGAGAATAGTTAGAGCCGGAGAAAAACTCCTATCGATCTCATTAATCATCCATACGTAGTCGATAAATGCTTCTCCTTCCATAAGTCCAACTGCGGCAGTAAGTGTCTGGTTTGTGCACGTAAATCCAACTTTGTGCAAGTGGTTGGCCGTAAATATTTGACTTGTAAGTGCAATCAATGATAACAACCTTGTTATACAGGCAAATGAATTTCCATGAATGTTGTGGTTGCCAAGAGAGCAGCTGGGCGTGATTTTCTTCGTCCACCGCGACCGTAGAATTAATCTCTTGGTTTTTCATGTGGTCCATAAACGCCTTCGTGTGTGTTTTACTACTCAAGGCCTCCAAGTCTAACTAGCGATATTATGTGCACCACTTTGCCTTGATCAGGACGTTCATCCTCTTGGAATGATTACCTATAACATAGCGAAGAAAATAACAAGCCTAATATATATATATATACAAATAGTTCATAAAGTGCATGCACAATTCCGAAGAAAACAATAAGCATTGAAAAATAAAATAGTTGCTTTAAGAGTATTACATCCACACTACTAACCCGTAGAGTAGCTAAACCTTTAAGCATCTGTACAACCTTGGCGTCTAAATCTTCCTCTTCTCTCGTTGCACGACGAGCTGCACGGTAGTGCTGAGAGCATGGTATTATCAACACATCTAATATGGCCATTGTGGCATTCATTCACAGAAAGCGTCAACCAGGCGGTATTTTCCGGAGCGTGTTTGTCATATACGATCGCAAGTCCATCCAAATATACGACTTTTTAGTACGATCTTGCAATGTCATAGGCCGATCGTGTGATCGTTTGTAGCGCTTTCCCTTAGAGCAGCATAGGGAAACGCGCTTGGTGTCAATTCTATTGCTGCGGTACATGCCGACGGCAATCCTTGGCGTACGGAGTTCTGTTTGACGGTCGCTACAGCTTCCTTCTGGCTACCAAATGGCCAGGTCGGTTTCAGCTCTTCACATCTCCATGAAAAGGCTTCTTTGTCTTCGGCAAAAACGATATGATGTACACAACCAGAAGCTGCTGCATCTGTGGAAGGGGGTAGGAATCTCATCTCGATTATCGAAATAATGAAAGACTGACACCGATGACCAGGCGGCTTACGGAAATGCGTTTATATGCTCATTAATACTAACGGGTTTACGTTAATACGATCATAGTAAACATGATCGCTCCAAGCACCCTGCAATCATCACCACAACATTCTTTCACCAGCAGTCAGTTCTCGTACCTCATTAGTTCTTAGGCACATCCACGTGATTAGACACTGGTAGTAAAAACTTGGCACCAGCCTAAAAGTTGCCAACTCCCAGAACGCGACACCAGCGTAGGTCTACACGATCAGCAACAACAACAAAAAGGAAATTTTAGCAATAGCAATAAACACAACAGCAAGTGTTTATTTTGTTAGTCGCTAAGTCATCAGCCATATCTATAGAACACACTTTTCTCCCTCATATTGCTTCGGCTATGGCTCCACCCACTGCGATAGCCAGCCCCCCCGTATTCTTCTTTTGAATACCCAACTTGTGTACCATCTCTGACGTGGGTCCAGCAACGGGTCAAATCCCAATATACAAACACAAACTCCGGCAACTAGCAGCAGCTGCATTCGCAGCCCCAGCGGTTTAATTGACATGGTCTCGGACAGCCACAAATTATTTTCAGCTTCTATCGCCGCGCCCCCCCAATTCAGTAGCCGCATCTTCCTCTCCTTCTCCATCCCGGTGGTTGCCTCCATCGGCTTTGGGTCCCACTGCGATGTCCGTGGGATGCTTCGGATTGACGTCTGATGATTGGTGGACGATCTCTGGAGACGGCGGGAGGGAATACCGCGAAAAGAGAAAAACGGGAGCAATACAGATGAATGCGCCGTGAAACAGTCGACGTTACAGCATTCACGTGTAGCGATTGCTGAGCGTGTGCAAGGGCAGTGACCAGAGCATGCTACCGAAAATTTGAGAATGCAGTCCATTTGGAAAGCGGAGTGCTCTACTTATCTTAGAAACATTTCAGTTGAAGCTCAGTATACCGTGGTCTTTTCTTAACCTTTTTGGGTACAGATCAGATGAGGCTAATGGATAGCATAACCATGACGCAGTATTTTTAGGCGAATACCTATGTTTTTCTTACGGTTTCCCATAGTAACCCGTACAGAATACTCAAGAAACACGATCGGCCTTTTATATCTGCGTACATCATTCGCTTTTGTGATCATATTATGTTTGATCGAAATAAGCCAATTAGGTAAGCGCACCACAATAGTGATCTCTCCAAATAGTGACTTCGGGTAATCCTAATATATCTTTGAGGGGGAGAGACTCGATCGCACTTAGTACGTACAAGATGAACGTAGGTGCGTTTTTTTACAGACAGGCACACACAGATAGGCAGAAACGTGTGTTTTAAAAGTTTGGCATTCATTTTGCGCGCTAGACAATAGCTTTACCTTTCGGGCTCGCAGCCAATTCTTCGTTATGTGGACTACCACTGATTGTGAGCCCGAAGTGTAACGGGATTACACAGCGATTATCGAACCGGTTCTTTTGAGCGTCCACACCAACTAAAGATCAGTGGATCTGAGTGGTACAGTATTGGTACCATGTTCTTGCTGTGATGGCCACCCGTTACATAAGTAGTTTCGATTACGTTTACATGTTACTTAAGCAGGGGAAACAATTCTGAGTTAGTGGAAGTAGCACGTCGTATATATTAGCTGGTTTAGTGGGCTCAGTACCATTATTAGCCAGTAAGATATAGGCACGTAGATTGAGTGTTCCCATGAGTCCAAGGGAACCATTCGTACTTAGGACAATTTAAAAGACAAAACATAAAACGGATTTAAAAGTACTTAATACCTAAGACTTGGGCGTTTAGGCTTCCTCAAAGCGTAGAATAGTGTAAGCTAAGTAAAAGTTATTGTAGCCCGTTACACCTGGTAGCACTTAGTAGTCCTTCTCATCTCCGAGTTTGGGATGAGCAATTTGTCGTACTTGAACGCTCCAGACGTGAGTTTGGAGCACGCGACTTTTCCCCATCTAATTGGTGTTGAGTGAGATGCCCTTCATTGCCTTGCGGCAATATCTGAAGAGGCATTCGTTTCGTCGCTGATGAAATTAGCGACTTCTACTGGCCAGAATCGCAGTCAGTCAGTCTCGAATACACGACTCTATGGCTCGCGAGCTCGCCGAAACCAATCGGCAAGATTTAGCTCTCTTGAGAGCTTCACAGGACAATGCCGTGAGGATGCAGACCTCCGCCTAATCCGGCGAAGTAAAAGAATTCCTGTCGCTGGCGTGTTCGTTCTGAGAAATTGAAATTGCAATCGCCTAGAGACTTCTCAAGGCTCCCCAGGAAAAAGCCATTGGTATCCTGTCCAGCATCACTGGGATATCCAAAGGGTTGTCTCTTGGTAAACTCGTCGTGGACGAGTTCGCGTTCCTCACTCTGGAAACCATCCAGAACAACCTTACGCTTGCATTTGAAGCGCCGCAAGAAGAGAAGTTGGTTTGTATATAATTTCTGTCGTCGAGACAGCACCAGATGGCCATGCGTGACTACGTGCATATGGCTCGGCATCTAGCCTCGTGCTGGACCACACACCCCATGGGCATGATAACACAAGTGAACGTCTTCGTTGACGGTATCTGTGAGGGGCAGACTCGACTGTCGCAGGAACGCGCAGAGCCTGCCACGCTAAAGGAGGCTTTCATTATTGCCCTCCGCGAAGACTTTGGAGTCACCAAGGCCTACCTCAAGCCTTCGGTGTTACCGCTGCCAGATCAGCGGGTCCGGAACCTATGGAGATTGATGCGATTAAGTCGTCGGGTGACCGACGACGTGCTACACCCTACAAAGGCGACTTCCGTAGCAGACGTCAGATGATCTTCTTCGAGGTCGAAAGCCGGGACATAGCTCGGCTGATTGTCGCACGCCATCGCCGATGTCGGTGCATGTGATGGACATTCATCATGAGGCAGGTGCTCCGCTAACTCGTCCAAACAACGGATAAGACCAATAGGTGCAGGGCAACCTACTGGTCTAAAGAGGGGTCCAGTTCCACCGTAAAAGACCGACCTCCCAGCCCATCTGTGCTACTCGCACGGTTAAATGCCACCACTGCTAGTGGTGATTCACGCCTTATCATTGTCAGTTTGCATGTCGCCGGCGTCCGGCGACCTTTACTAGTGCTCCTGGGCCCAGGAGTGAAAAGAATTTCTTCCGTGAATCTTGTGTGTCGATGCTGCCACCCAGCATTTAGGTCCGCGAGGGGCCTGGCAAAGTTGTCGTCAAGCTCGCTGCCGGGAAAATACGCCACGTATTGCCGCGCAAAGTGCCGCTGCCGTATACGTTCGACGTCTTTCGCAGCAACGACAACTGCTTGGTGATTGAGATGATTTACACATTCGATTGCATCCTGCGCTTGCCGTAGTTGGCACGTTACAAGCCTCGGATTGACTGGATAGCGAGATCAGTGAGACATCGATGCAAGTTCGACGTCAGTGCAGTGCTAACCTACCTTTTGGTGTCCCCAAAAAATTAGACGAACGTCTTAGTCGTGGATCGCAATTCCACGACGCAGGCGATGCACAGAGCGAGCGATGGCCCTCTCTGCACTGCTTGTGCCACTCGGATGACCGGGTGACGATATCTCCTCGCTTCGCAGCGAGGAGTATAACGCGGACGAGCAGTGGATCCCGCACGAGGAAGACGCGGTCGAACAAGGGTATTGGAACGAGGAGTGTGGTAGAACTGGATTTCTTACCTGTACCTATTGTGGTGAGCAGAGGCTTCCACAAAGACAAGATGTGGTCGAGCACGAGCTCGTCACCGAGTGCGACGTGGACGGACAGGTGTACCCATTCAGAGCATGATGGTCGAACAGGGGTTTCAATAATCACCCACTGTGGTTGAACCGGGGTTACCACATCAGCAATTTGTGATTGAGCAGTGGCTCCCACATAAGGTTACGGCGGTCGAGCAGGGGCTCCCGCATCAGGCGTCGACGAACGAAAATGAGTTTCTCTCGTCACTCAATTTTGACGTTCTGAATGAGGACATCCAGTGTCTAGAGGGGTGTGATAGATTGTCACCTAGCTGCGGATCGCCAGCTTCGATCTGGACTCGAAACACTATGGGGACGCAAGCATAAAGAATACAGCGTTGTAATGCGTCCACGATGTGGTGCACGTATACAAAGATTCCGCAAAAGCGCCAATTCATTAAAATAGCGAGTCCATCTCGCGACGCGTCTTCGATTACGAGGCTTCCAGAGCTCTCCTGGAAGCATTTCGTACGTGACCTAAAGGGATGAACGCTTGAACAGATTTATCTGGTCACCAATGAGGTGACCCCTGAGCTAAAAGAGGAGCACATGACGCGCCCTCGATACGCTATACCAAAGTCAGCGCGTAAAAAAGGTTTGCAGCACAGTCATGGGAGGCTCTGCGTGAGTACGGTAACCCTGTCTACGCGATAGGATCGAGAGGTACGCAGACGTCGTCCCGGACAAAATTTCTACTGAACTTCCTGCCAATCGTGGTATGCGGCACGAATTTTTCTCGTGTCAGGTTCAAAGTACTGTGTGACTCGGCAGTGGCTGTTGCCTCGAGACCAGGTCGAGGCCATTGATGCATTCTTTGAAGGTCGTTGAAAGGCGGACCATGTGCGTGAGAGTATCTCACCACACTCGAGCCCGACCTTCTGTGTGAAGAAGGCTACGGGAGGATGGCGGATAGCGCATGCGTTTAACAAGCTAAACGATGCCACTATTCCTGCCCAAACGCCCATCCCCAGGAACGAAATGGTTCTAAACTCCATGTCAGGTAGCGCCATCGATCTGACCGATGGCTTCTACCAGATCTTGATGCGACAGAGTGACATACCACTCCCTGCGGTGAGCACCCCAAGTGGTATGCTATGGGAGTGGCTGGTGATGCCACAAGGATTGAAGAACGCACCAGTCACTTTCATTAGCATGGTGTCACAAGTGATAGGACCGCTTCGAGACTTTGCTCCTAGCTATTTCGATGACATTTTTGTCCACAGTCGCGCTGATAAAAACCTTAGTGCTGTACACGTTTTCTATAACACTTAAAACAGGTGTGTCAAGTCATGCGAGACATCAAGTTGTATGCAAAATTGGAAAAAAGCGTATTCTGTGCACCGGAGATTTCGTTGCTGGGTTGCTATGTGAGTAAATAGGGAGTTTGAGCCGATCCAGAGAAGGTGTCATCTATCTGTTCTTGGCCAACACATAAGAATCCTACGGAGTTGCGTCAATGGCTCAGTCTAGCTAGTTACTTGCATAAGTACACCAAAGAGTACGCCGTTTCTGAACAACCTCTGTCGTCACTTTTAAAGAAAGACGCCACGTGGTCGTGGAGCCCCAAGCATCAAGCGGCCTTCGACGCAGTGTAGAAGAGTCTAGCGTCAGCGCCAGTGTTGATGCTATTGGACGACACCAAGCCGTTTCACGAGGTGTGTGATGCAAGTGACTTTGCAATTGGTTGCGCCTTCATGCAAATTGACGATGAGGGCCATGAAAGAGTCGTGAGTTACCAATCACGACAGATGAAGCAGGCGGAGAAGAACTATCCAGTCCACGATAAGGACCAATTAGCTATGCGCTACGCACTCATCAAGTTTCGTGTCCACCACTAAGTGAACGCACGTTCTCCCTATATACTGATCATGCATCGCTGCGCACAGCGATAAAGAGCCTATACCTGTCTCAGCTAGTGGCACGATGGCTCTCTTTCTTATCCGAGTACAACTTCGTCGTTCACTACAAGCCAGGCAAGACTAACATTCTTGCTGACGCACTGTCACGACGTCCAGATTACGATCCTCGGATGGCACTGAGTCGTCAGGCTACTGACGACGACGACGAAGACGATCGATGTGCGACGTGTGTGTCGTTGAATCTAACTCGGGTCACACCCAAGTTATGCCTATACGATAAGTTGTCGCGGCTTACGCGAACGACCCGGATTACGCGGACATTATTGCCTATCTGCGCGCTCCCAGCGATGATGCACTGGGAGCTCTTTCGCTAACGAAGCGTGATTACATCAAGCGATATAGTATGTATGGTGATTTGCTGCTATACATCATCGATCGATTCGATGCACCTCGAACGGTAGACGCGAACGACTTGGATCTGCGTGCTGGCATCATCCGCGAGTACCGTGATGCCCCAGCTAAAGGTCATTTAGGCCGCTAAAAGACTTTTGTGGCTGTGTCGCGTGCCTTTTTTGGCCCCACATAAACAAGTGGGTTCGCAACTGGATTTGCACATGCAAAATCTGTCAAAGAGTGAAGGCATTTCCATCGTCCCAGGCCCCCTGCGATTCTTGCCGATTGCAGCTGAGGCTTAACGCTCAGCGTCGATGGACTTTATCTTCGGGTCCGCGCCCGATAGTCAGAATTGAACCGGTATCCAGGTCTTCGTGGACAGATTCAGCAAGATGACACGCTTGGTGCCGGTTCATGCAACAATGACCTCGGCTGAGACCGCGGTGCACTTCATTGACATAGTGTTTCGCTATCACGGTTTACCGGACGACATTGTCTCGGACCGTGATCCTCGCTTCACATTTGCGTTCTGGACCTCATTGTTTAAGATTCTTGACACGAAGCTGCAGATATCGACGGCCGTTCATCCGGAAACGGATGGGCATCCAGAGCGGGTCAACCGGGTCCTCGAAGATGTTCTTCGAAGTTATGCTACTTCCTTCACATGTTGGAGTGCGTTCTTGCCACTCGCTGAGTTTTCAATCAACCACGCTATTCACGAGTCAACAGGGTTGACGCCATTCTTTGCGAATTCATCTCGTCACCCTCGAGTTCCTGCTCTTCGTGCCGTAAATCATCTCACGGATCTTCGTGTATCCGCTCTGGAGGGGGGGTGAAAGTGACAATTAACGATCGAGTGCAGCTCACGGTATTCTAAGCGCAAATGTAGTCAATACTTCCAAGTCGAAGTCCCCTGTTATGACGCCACTAGAAGTGTCTTCCCCGCTAGCTCTATGGACTACGCAAACACTGATTGACCCTTCTTCGGGTATGCGATCACCTAAAACCAGCTATGCGCCGATTGAGTCGGCGCAACCAATTGATGACATGGCTGTGTCGGTGTTCATACTTTAACGTCAAGAGATAACGAGGTTTGTACGAGATACTCTTCGTTCTGCAGTGGATAAGCAGAAAAAGAATGCGGACAAACGTGCAAGAAAGAACATGAGCACATTTAAAAAAGGTGGCCGTGTGTTGCTTTCTACTGAAGGCATATGCGATTCGGCAGTTACCAATTTCGGCGCGAGCAAGCTCGCGCCACATTTCATCGGACCATTCACGGTGCTCAAGTCGATCGGCGACGCCTACAAGCTGGATATCCTTTCGTCGTTACGCCTAAACCCGAAGTTCTACATAGGGTGGATGAAGGAGTAATGTCCGGCTACGCTTCACGAGTTGGTCTCGACCCTGAAGGCAAGGGCTCAAACGTTGATCTTCCCTCCCGTCTTTCTCGACGCGCCAAGGACAACGGACGCGGCTGCGTTTCAATCTGCGTGGGACCAAGATCCTTGCGTTCCAGTTTCCTCACCCGTTCGAGCGGTTGGCGGTTCGACTGTCCTATCTCGCTCGCCTGTCCTATCTCGCTCGCCTGTCCTCTCGGCCCGTGAAGCACGCACAGCGGCAGCCTTAGCTCTCAGCTGGGCATCGACAGCCTTGTTCACCGCCGCATCCACATCTTCCTGGACAACCAGGACGCCAACGCTCTTATCGCGATGGCCCACCGCCGCTTGTGGATGCGGTAAGGCAGAAGCACTAGATTGCGAAGCGTTTACTAAGTCACGAGGCCCCTCTTCGTGAAGAGACATTGT